CTCGCTGCTCTAGCGACGGCTCGGCGGGGGCGGCGCTGATGCAGGCAAGGTAAGACGAGGAGGGGCAAAACTCCCCGGGTATTTATGCAGGGAGGAGGCGAAACGAGCGGGCGATGAAATCGGGGAGATTTCCCCCCAATCTGGCGCGGTTAACCACGAGCCGATTTCACCGGCCCACGCGCCCACGTCTCCCGCATTAAATGCGAGGACGGTTACGTCCCATCCACCACGCCACGCTTTCCACACTCGGCAGCAAAACCGTTTCGACTCCCAATAAAACTGCCTCAAAAGGCGCGCCACTCGCGGCCGAGCCAATAGGGAAGATATTTCCCGTGGCCTGTTCCTTTCATAGGAAGGAACCGGGCTCTGAGCCTATTACGATCCAGGGGTTCGAAGGCTGGACCCCAAAAGGGTTTCGACAGCTACCCCAGGATAACAGAGTCAGGGGCGACTGCGGGCGAGCCTATTCGGGGCCGAGACCCAAGCGAGTGAAACACTTGGGACGCCCAAAGTCGTGTCCGAGACCGGTAGGAAAGTATCCGAATGGGATCCCACCGTAGGGAGGCACCGAGCCATCGAGGCCCAACGAACGGCCTCGGCACCCACTAGAGAAATCCTCTGGTACTCTTGGAGTGTGTCTCTGGACCACTAGCCGTCCCCTAACGAACAACGGGTTCGGGCCTCCACTCGGACTACCCGATAACACTCACCGGAAGTGCCACCGCTGCGTGCCCATCGAGGGTAGCGAGGCACATTCCACCCTCCTTCCGAAAGCGAAAAGGAAGCGCGAGGGTCGCATAAAAAGTCAGGGGAACCCCTGACGGCCTTCTCGCCCTATGCAGAGGCTAGGGGGCTCCTCCTGCAAATATGCCGAGACCCCACGACCCAGGCTCACGCCCAAAGGGGCCTCGGCAAACAAACCCTCACGCGCGAGGGGCGTATAAAAAGTCAGGGGAACTCCCGACGGCCCTCTCGCTCTACGCAGAGGCTAGGGGCTCTTCCTGTGACCTTGTCGAGACCAGAATGGGCTCGGCAAACAAACCCCTCACGCGAGGGGCGAGCAAAAAAAGTCAGGGGAACTCCCGACGGCCCTCTCGCTCTGCGCAGAGGCTAGGGGCTCTTCCTGCGACCTTGCCGAGACCAGAATGGGCTCGACAAACGAACCCTCCGTCCGAACGAAAAGGATATGTGAGGGGTGAATGAAAAAGTCAGGAGACCCCCGACCGTTCTCTTGCTCTAGGCGGAGGCTCGGGGGCTCCTCTTGCACCCAAAAACCAAGACAAAAACACGATAAAGGGCACCGCCGTTACGGTCCAGGGGTTCGAAGGCTGGGCCTCCAAGAGGTTTCGACAGCCACCCCAGGGCAACAGAGTCAGGGACGACTTCGGGGCGAGCCTACGAATGGCCCAGGCCCGAACGAACAGTCGCTCGGGGCGTCCTAAGTCGTGTCCGAGACCGGCAGGAAAGTATCCGAATGAGATCACACCGTAGGGAGGCACCGAGCCACCGAGGCCCAGCGAACGGCCTCGGCACCCACTAGAGAAATCCTCCGGTACTTTTGGAGTGCGTCTCTGGACCGCTAGCCATCCCCTAGCGAACGGGGCTCGGGCCTCCACTCGGACTACCCGATAACAGCTCACCGAAAGTGTCCACGCTTGCGCCCATCGAGGGTAGCATGGCACATTCCACCCCTCTTTCCGAGCGAAAGGAAGCGTGAGGGACATACCCAACATCAGGGGGACCCCCGACGAACCTCTCACTCCATGCGGAGGCTAGAGGGCCTTTTTTGCAACCTCGCCGAGACCCCCGCAACCCGAACTTGCGCTTATGGGCTCGACAAATGCAATAAGAACTGATCACTCAAACGCGAAAGTGGAGAAAGCCCCTGGAGGAGTAACTTCACTCCTCTAGGGGCTCGGGGGCTACACCCGGCAGGTGCGCTCGCGCGCACCCACCGGAACCTCAGAAAACAAACCAATTCCTACGGAGCAGGCATAAACCCAGCCTCAACGAACCCTCAGGGAGAGTGCACGCACTAACCCCGAGGCTCGGGGGCTACTGTCGGGTACCTTAGAACGGGGTACCCCAAGCAAACATCAAAATAAAGCTAGAAGGTAAGCCGTGGGCCCCTCACCTGCCACGACCGAGCCCTCCTCCACCTCGCCTCGAGCCTCGAGCAGGAGGTCTCGGAACAAACTCTGCCTCGCGCAAGGCTCCCCAGGGTAGGCCTAGGCAGGGGGCGCCGAACCTCGGCAGGGGGCGCCGTCTCCGTCTCGCCCGAGGCTCTCCAGGGAAGGCCTCGGCAGGGGCACATTCTCCGTATCGCGCGAGGCGTCTCGCAAGGCCTCGGCAAGGAACCCGATCTTCGTCTCGCGCGAGGCCCCAGCCTCCGTGTCGCTCGAGGCCGGGTCGCCCGCAGCCCGTCACCCCCCGCCTCGACCGACCCTCCAGACAACGTGTCATGTCCCATTAATGCTTCAACCACTCCCACAATCTCAGCCGGACGACAGCTCAACGCCACAGAATGGCCGACGCGACCCAAGGTCGCATCAGTGCCATACCGGCTGGACAGGGTACGGCGGGGATTACCGGCCACTGTGTCCTAACGCTGTATCCACGATCTGCGCCATACCGGCTGGGACAGGGTACGGCGGGAATTACCGGCCACTGTGTCCTAACACTGTACCCACGATCAGCCGCCCACTTGAGGCCTCGGCACCGTACACCTAGGTCTCGGCCATCTTGGGGATCGTGCCTGCCGAGACCCCTCCACCATGGTGCAGCCTCGACACCGACCTAGTCTCGGCCTCACGCGCAGTCCGTCCACAGTGGCTTGCACGTCCCGGGGCTCCCACGACGCACAGGATCTGATAGGACGGCCACGTCGCCCCAGTGCTCCAAGGATGGACCACTCCGACGGCCACACCGCCACAGGAACAGGCTACAGGGCCCGGACACGCCGCCTCTGTTCACACGACGTCGTATAGTCAGCTCATGTACCGCCCTAGTCCTCCCTTCATGCTATAAAAGGAGAGGACCTGTGTTGTTTTAAGGGCAGGGGGGAAAAACCTTGGAACACACACACACATACACGCACATCCCTGCCGCCTGAGAGCAACGTCTCAAGCGGCCCGCACGACACCCTGCCGAGACCTGGGACCAGCTCCCTCTCTCCTTTAGCTTGTAACCCCCTACTACGAGCACCTCGGTGCAAGGAATACAAGATCGATCTCTCAGACTGGACGTAGGGCCTCGATTGCCCGAACCAGTATAAACCTTGTGTCTCTTTACATCACCATCCGGAATCGGGAGCACGCAGAACAAATTCACTAGTCGGTTGAGGATCCCCCGGTCCAAAACACCGACATGGAGGTACCTCACCCTCTTCTTCTTTGTCTCATGGCTCGTCACCCAGATCCGTCCTCCGTCTCATGTCTCCTCACCCAGATCCTCCCTCCCTCCATCTTCCCCTTTGCGCAGTGCAGGACATCTAAGGCTGAGGCACAACATACAAGAGTTCCCTGTTGCTTATATATGTTCTTAGAATCTTGACAAACCCACTCTGACAATTTGTTATGGATGAGGAACAACATACAAGAGTTCCTGTTGCTTGTATATGTTCTTAGAATCTTGACAATGGGTGATGATGAGCTACTTAATGGTTTCATACTTTATTATTTTCTTATTTTGCTTATGTCATCTTCCATGTTGCAATTTTGGGTTCTTTTTCATTGGTGGATATGATTAATATTTTGTTAGAGTATATAATTTCTTATCTTGACTAGCAGCACCTAATTCTGTTTTTTTACCTTTGTGACGATTCACTAATCCCGGATGCAAACTACACGAAAACCCCGGACTCCGAAAGATCAAGCGAAATACAACAGTTATAAAGAAGTTGAAGACAATAAATGATGAATGTAAGGATGGGCTAATGGATGAGTTAAAAGTGTGAATTTGAGCAAATTTGTCGTCAAGCGATTTCTTATATTTGTGAGGCCAAACTTCATCCACCGATATACAAGCTTCGCTCGGGTAATTTGCAATAGCAATGGTTACACTTTATGCAAAAGTGCAAAATTCGATAGACATGCTTATGACGTTTATTGTTGTTGGTCCCTTCACTTTACATGTGCAAGATCATTCCAAAGGTGAAATATCTTAGCAACATAATGAAGTATGCTCATTATCCTCGGTGGTTGTTATGGAAACAATGTGTGCATCACCTCGGTTGGTTAGTATTAAGAAGGTTATCAATATTACCAAAGTTATACTTAGGGGCATGCATCACCTCGATCCGGTTCATATTAGCAAGGTTATCCCTAGGAGTTCAACTTGGTTGGTCGTGACCAGCTTGGTTGGTGCAATAAAGTATCGATTCGCCAAATTGGGTTCAACAAGAGCTTCTTTTCAATGGGAGAAGCCCGATGACTAATGGGGAATCACTTGGTTCCCCCATCTGATGCTTCTTTGCCATCTTGTTCTCATACCATATTTGTGATTACCTTTGGAATTATTTTTGTTCTTGTATGTTTGGTACCGACCATTTTGACATATGTTGTAGCATAGCTATGGTAACCAAATTCTTGGCTTCTTCCTCGAATATTTGATTCACTTGTTTGTGGGGTAGCCACCGGTGGAATTGAGCAGAGTTTTTAATAGAAAGTTTGTCCTCTATTTCTATATTTGTTTGAGTTGCAGCTTTTGGGCTTTTGCTTCGATTGTTACCTCTTTGCTATTGGCTTTTGTAATGATTTTTACCTTCAAGTGCTTTCTAAAGGTTCACAAAGGAAAGTACAAATAAGTTCATCTGATTGCTCTTCTCAATCGCTAGTCTCACCCGCTATCATGATGACTTTGTTTGTCATGAGTAGTAGATGAGGTTAGTTCCTTTAGCTGACTGCATAAATAAAGAAAAAGAACATTTTTTTAATATTTATTGGAGTATGTTCTTTTTTCTTTTTCTGCTGTAGTCACCATAAGATGAAATTGTGCAAAGCATGAAGCAGCAAGAAGCTGCTGAGCTTGAGGAGAAGCAGAGCATCAAGCGGAGGATCCTCGAATACAATGAAAGGAAGGAGGAAGAACTGAATGGAGCATCACAAATGGGGAACTGGGGTCAAGGAGCTACCAATACCAGCAGGGCCAGGGCAGCTGGGATGGTTCAACACGGGAGGTCTTTATAGATGTAGCTAGAGGTGAACAGGACCCTGTAATCCTCACCCAATTTAATATAACAAAAGTTATAAGAGACAGCATTCAGCTCAACTTTGGGGAGTGTGGCCTAGCTGGATCTCTTGGATCATTGCAAGGTACCACTAGCAATTACTTCTGAAACCTTTTAAATCTTATATTAGTGTTTGTTGCACTATGTTTATTACTGGCTTCTTAATATAAAAGTACTTATAAGCTCTGCAAATTTTCAGTTAAGTATGTTAATCTTGTAACAAAGCTCTGCATTGTCCATGTGTCACGTGAAGACCACCAGAAAGTTTGGGCTGCTATGACAATGGTGAGGTGCATTGGGAAGATCCCTGTTTCATTCAACTTGCTCGACATGAGTGGTAAGTGGCTCAGACTCTGGCTGACGATACACAACAATCTTGTTGCGTTGCCTTTTTACTTGGTTGTTTTCCAACAGACTGGCACTTGATTTGGTGCACTCTGGACCTTCCAAAATAACCTATTTCTGTAGTTGATTTTGTCTTCTAACTTAGAGTAAGAATTTGAGGGTAGGATTTTGATTTAGAAAGGATTCAATATGCCCATCTCACATCACCGCAAAGGTTCACAAGTTTGAATAATCTTCATGTGGGCTATTTTGTTTGTTTTCGTTTGAGTAATTTCTAAACTTTCAATTGCAACATTTTTGCCATCTCCGATGAAGGAACATAGGAGCTACAGCTATAGAAAGCTATAGGTTTGTCAAATTCATTCTGCTTTCCTCATATATTGTTGACCTTTTGGAACCACATTTCTCCTTCGAACTCAAAATATAATGCACTCTCTCGATTCATCGCTTATTTTCCTGCTTAAAGTATTGCTATGTGTCAATTAGGATGGCCACTTCATAGTAAAACTATGTATCTATGCATCTAGATATATGCTATGTCCAAAAGCAGAGGAGTAGCACTATTGCCATGTTTGTAATACTAATTTGTAGTCCTTAAGAAAAGGGTCACTCTTCTTTTTATTGTCCAACTGCCACAGCTTTAGCTCATCAATCATCATTGCATTCACTTTTTCCAGAAGCATCGGGGCTTGCAAGAAAGCTGCACCGGAGTGTGATGAAGCGAAATTTGAACAATACAAGGTGGCTGCTGGCGATTGTATCACGGCAGAGATCATCCAGTCCGTAGAGAGCTGCTTTGAGAAGATTAGAGGACTAGAGAGCTAGCAAAAAGAAAAATATATATCCCCTCCTGTTTTTGTTTCGTTCTCTCTGTCCCTAAATGAAATGAAATGATGAAATGCACATTCAGCCATCTAGCACATTCAGCCATCTCTGTCCCTAAATGAAACAAAATTTATGTTTTTGGCGAAAAAATGCACTGTAGGGACGGCTTGTACTGTAGCCGCCCCCTACAAAATGATTTGTAGGGGTACTGTAGCCGCCCCTACAAATCAATTTGTAGGGGCGGTCTAGGAACCGCCACTACAAATCAGCGATTTGTAGCCACCCCTTCGTAGGGGCGGTTGGTAAAACCGACCATACAAAGGGTTACGAGCCGCCCCTAAAAAACGATTCTGTAGTAGTGAATGTTTGTGAAAATATGCTAACACACATGTACGAAGTGTTACACTTGGTGGTTGGCATATTTGATAAGGGGGTGAAGTTTAGGGTCTAGGCTAGGCCCGGGGACCCTATTTGATCTGGACGGAAAGAAGCTGTTGGTCGAGACCAGGCCAATAAAGATGAATAGTGATCGAGTAACATTTGTCGTTGTCAAATAAAAAAGAAAAGAGTATCAGCGTCGCCGAGGAGCACTATAACCACTGGATCGCTTGCAGTATGTCATCATCATCAAGAGCGGTGCAGTATGTCATCGTCATCAAGAGCAGTACTAAAACCATACTGTGATTTTAGGTCTTCCACTCCATATACAAATGTAAAGGGCCATAGCGCATTAATATCACGTCAAACCTCTTTTGCTTCTTCATTATATTTTCTCTCTTATCCAGTTTTCGCAAATTCTATTTGTTACTAATATATTGATCTTGCACCCTAGACACGTTGGATGACATGTAACCTGAGGATGTTCATGGCCTAGCGGTGTCCTTTTTAGAAGAGAGTTTCGATGGTCTTTTACCAATTTGCTCGCAAACTATTCTCTCAATTTTAAATTTAGTAAGTTGTTCTGCTTTTTCTAGATCGATAAGCCAGAAAGAGTGGAGTAGTTATTTGTCATCACATCGTAAGCGATATTTACTGTTTGTTGGTCTGCTCATAAACTTAGGCATCCACCAACATAAAAATGTTAATTTATCCTTCTCATTTACATGTTTGAATGAGACCCAACTAAGGGCTCGTTCGGTTAGCCTGGAATGAGCACAGAAACCATTCCGGCTTGATCACGCTTATACAAATTAGCTAACTATTGCAGCCGGGAAAAAATGATTCCCGGCGAACCGAACGAGGGCCTAAACATGTTTCCGGACCGGTTTGATTGATTTTCACACTGTGTGGTACTATCTTGCAATCCACGTGATCTGGTTTTTCTGGTGTTTGCCCATATTTTACGGCTCTACACCAATAATACTATTGATTACGTGAGTCTGCTAGGTAGAAATGTGCGGTAACCTTGCCATTTGTACAACTAAAGTAACCAAGTAAGCTTGTTTATCTTTGTTCCTTCTCAACGTTTCCAAGCAGACCAGCTGGAGAAAGTGCGTAGTATTATTGAACGCAATCCTTCTAAATATAGAGCAAATCAAAAAAAGAAAAGTGATATAACCATTCACGAGAGAATAAAACACCACACTTCGAGCGTTTTCCGCTTGGCGCCAGAAGTCACCCGAGCCCCTCCCCCGAAAAATCCCCAGGCCCCTGATCGGCTCATTCCTCTCCCCCCGCTGCCCGCACCCACAGGCCCCGCCAAGTTGGCAGCACGGCAGCACGAACCCAACGCCCCGGCGCAACGAAACGATAGAATAGAAGCCGCACACCACCAGCTTGCGACCGACCGAGTCGAACCCTGCCCCCCTCGAACTGGGGAGGTCGCCCGCGCGCCGGGCCGCCCTCCACCACCAGCCCCACTGCGTTCACCTTCCCGAACAGCCACGCCTACGACCCCGCCTGTATACCGACGACGTCCCTATCCGCCTCACCGCGATCAATTCAGGTGACCGCCACATCGCCATCCACTGCACGAACCTTCCCGCACACAGCCACCGCCGAGACCGATCCATTTCAAATCTGCGCTCAAGGGGACGCGCATCAGCTCGATTTTCTAGCCTGATCTGATCAAGAGGGGTGACGAGAAGCGAAGCATCAATCATCCATCACCTCGAACCACCTACTCACAAAGGGTCTGGCAGCATGACCTGGAGATCATCGCCAACGACCACAACGATCCATTTCAAATCGCGCTCACACGGCCAAGAACGTCGCCATGAACCCATCAGCCTCTTCCTTGATTTCCTTCAACAATTCCAGTTCCTTGATCTGATCTAGTATATGAAAGTTGTTTGTTCTAAAAAAATTATAAACAATCAACACGACTTGTGCACAGTCATTGAGTCATGTTCTGCTTCCACTCTATTTTTGCGGCAGATCATAAATCACTTGTTGCATCTTGTAGATAGATATATCTAGACCACAAATTCACAGTAATTTTGAGTTGTAAAACCCAATTTTTTTTTCGTTGTTGTTCATTGGAGAGATAATTTTGTCATCGTTTGGCTTATAAAAATCACAATAATTTTAAGTTGTGACATATTTTGTCATTGTTTAGCTATTGAAAAAAAATAAGATTTGTGTCTCGTGGGTTGTCCTTTAATCATATTATTACGTAAGATTGTTTTGAAATATAGCAACTCCTTTTTCTATCGTTGCTCATTCAACAGATAATTCATCATCGTTTAGCTATAAAAAAATTATGTATAGTAATTTTGAGTTGTAAAATATTACTAGTACACTTTTCCTATACGTCAGATGTCTAATTTTTTGTTATTGTTCATTCAAAGGGTTATTTTATCATCGTTTAGCCATAGAGAAATCATGAATCATTTTGAACTAATTTTCTTTTTAATTGTACTTGTTAGTGGTGTAAGATTATTGTCTGAATTTTCAGGCAACTGAGCTATAGCAAGTCCTATACTACTACTATACTCCATAATTTTTATTCTGCAGATGAAAGGAAAATAGCACAGAAATCCGCTATGATCCATCAACAGCATTCCCTAACCGCTCTGTTTCTGCCATGCAGATGCCAAGGGACTCATCGCCCGGCGCTTCTCGGATCCGTCCGTGCAGGCGGACATGAAGATGTGGCCGTTCAAGGTCGTCCCGGGCCCCGCAGACAAGCCAATGATCGTGGTGACCTACAAGGCGAGGAGAAGAAGTTCTCGGCCGAGGATATCTCCTCCATGGTGCTCACCAAGATGAAGGAGATCGCCGAGGCCTACCTCAGCACCACCATCAAGAACGCCGTCATCACCGTCCCGGCCTACTTCAACGACTCGCAGTGCCAGGCCACCAAGGACGCTGGCGTCATCGCCGGCCTCAACGTCATGCGCATCATCAACGAGCCCACGGGCCACGGCCGCCGCCATCGCCTACGGGCTCGACAAGAAGACCACCAGCTCCGGCGAGAAGAACGTGCTCATCTTCGACCTCGGCGGCGGTACCTTCGACGTGTCCATCCTCACCATCGAGGAGGGCATCTTCGAGGTCAAGGCCACGGCCGGTGACACGCACCTGGGAGGCGAGGACTTCTACAACCGCCTGGTGAACCACTTCGTGCAGGAGTTCAAGAGGAAGCACAAGAAGGACATCAGCGGCAACCCGAGGGCGCTCCGGCGGCTGCGGACCGCGTGTGACGGTGTGAGAGGGCGAAGAGGACGCTCTCCTCCACCGCCCAGACCACCATCGAGATCGACTCGCTCTACGAGGGCATCGACTTCTACGCGACCATCACCCGGGCCAGGTTCGAGGAGCTCAACATGGACCTCTTCAGGAAGTGCATGGAGCCCGTGGAGAAGTGCCTCCGCGACGCCAAGATGGACAAGTCGCAGATCCACGACGTCGTGCTCATCGGAGGTTCCACGCGTATCCCCAAGGTGCAGCAGCTGCTCCAGGACTTCTTTAACGGCAAGGAGCTCTGCAAGAACATCAACCCTGACGAGGCCGTCGCGTACGTCGCCGCTGTCCAGGCCTCCATCCTCAGCGGCGAGGGCAACCAGAAGGTGCAGGATCTGCTCCTGCTCGACGTCACGCCGCTCTCGCTCGGGCTGGAGACCGCAGGCGGTGTGATGACCGTGCTGATCCCGAGGAACACCACCATCCCTACCAAGAAGGAGCAGGTGTTCTCCACTTACTCCGACAACCAGCCCGGCGTGCTCATCCAGGTGTACGAGGGTGAGCCGACGAGGACCAAGGACAACAACCTGCTGGGCAAGTTCGAGCTCACCGGCATCCCGCCGGCGCCGAGGGGCGTGCCCCAGATCAACGTGACCTTCGGCATCGACGCGAACGTCATCCTGAACGTGTCGGCGGAGGACAAGACGACGGGGAAGAAGAACAAGATCACCATCACCAGCGACAAGGGCCGGCTGAGCAAGGAAGAGATCGAGCGCATGGTGCAGGAGGCGGAGAAGTACAAGTCCGAGGACGAGGAGGTGAAGCGCAAGGTGGAGGCCCGCAACGCGCTGGAGAACTACGCGTACAACATGCGCAACACGGTGCGGGACGAGAAGATCGCGTCGAAGCTGCCCGCCGAGGACAAGAAGAAGATCGAGGACACGGTCGAGGACGCCATCAAGTGGCTCGACGGCAACCAGCTCGCCGAGGCCGAGGAGTTCGAGGACAAGATGAAGGAGCTGGAGAACGTCTGCAACCCCATCATCTCGAAGATGTACCAGGGCGCGGCGGGCATGGACGAGGACGTGCCCAGCGGCGGCGCCGGCAGCGGAGGTGGCAGCGGCGCCGGGCCCAAGATTGAGGAAGTCGACTAAGCGAGTCATGAAAGGAGGTGATGACCTGGATGGGATACTTCTTCGTGCAGGTCCAGAGTGTACTACGTGAAGGCGTCTTAATCTGTTTGTGTGCGGTAATAATCTGGGGTTAACACCTGCAGGGTGTTCTTTCTGTTTTCACTGTCGAGTGTTAGTAGGTTCAGTAGGGTGAAACCTATGTATTAGGCTTAGTAGACAAGAGTAAAATAATCTGTGTGAACATCCATCCGTAATGCTATTGTAACCGTCTCTGCTAGTCCAGAGTCTCTCTACCCAACAACCATGTGTTTCAATAAAAAGATAGCACATGGTTGTTTATTAGCTATAAAACACATAATTTGTAACAGACAATCTAGCACATGGTTGTTGGTTGTTTGCATAACATATGATTTTCAAGAGAGAAGAAACTATGTGTTTTAGCACAAGGTAGCACACGTTTTTAAAGAGCTGCAAGGTTCATTCGTTGCTCCCTCTGTGCTTGACGCTTCAGCCGCACCTCCAGTCTGGCCCTCTTGAGCATCCACAGGCCGCTCAGAGGTTTCAGGCTCATGGGATGCACTATCCTCTTCTGTACACAAAATTTTCTCATTGACCGTGGTAGCATCACAGTCGTTAGCAACTTCTGCTAGTTCCTTGGCCTCCTCAACAGGACCATTTTCAAGGGATGCACTTTCTAGCAGTGACTCGGTGCCAGTGGTTTCACCGGTTAGCACTTCATCAGTTTCCTCCGTGTTCAAGGAAATCTCTTCAGAATTGGGGGATGATGAAGGAACAGAGGCAGCTAGGCGATCATTGATTCCTCTATCACCATCAAACATAAACCAGTTTGAATTCGTGAAGAGGGAACTGCTGCAGAATGCGCACACTATAAGCCATCTTACTTCTTGTAAGATTTAGGTCACTGAAAAATATTAATTACCTGTCCTGATCATCCCCAAATGCAATGAAGATATTACTACTTCAGCTGACTCATCATCAAAGTAGACATCCTGAAATACATGGACAGGAATAAGCTCATAGATAATCCATGTTTGTTATAGCATGATACAATAGTTTTTAATTATCAAATCAAAAGTATTGACCATTTACCAATCTTACATTGACTGTATTGAAGTAAAACAATAGAAATATTTACATAAGTAGTACTGTAAGCATACCTCATCATCTCGTTCGTGGGATCCTTGTGCCTGCAATAATCAAACATGAAATACATTATAATGTTAGCAATGAAGGTAATATTAGTATATTACAGTTATCTAGGAGAATCCCAAAATTTTATTTTTACATGGTTGAAATGTTTAGTTGTAAAACAAAGAATGATGAAAGATATTATAACAGATTCGAAAATTGAACACAACTTTTTTCTAAATACCACTCTACAAAATTATAGCATGCTACAAAAGAACATGATGTTCAAAACTCAAGAAAATCTTGCTAAAAAAGCGATTTAAAATCACCTCTTCAATGCCATCATTGTTGTATATCCCATATCGAAATGCCCGACTCAGATTATTAGCAAGTGCTGCCACATCATAGTCTCTATCTCGGAAGTCGTCATCATCGCTATCCCTCCCACGATCATGTAGAGAAGTTGGACGGTCAGTAGCATAAAAAACATTAGCTAACGGTCGGGAAGAAATATACAAGTTACCACAGAGAAATCACAAGTGTTTCAAAGAAGTGTACACAAGAATAAGAAAGCCTGGATGGGAAAAAAACATACCCACATGCCCAATGGTAAACGCGTTCTCCACCTCATTGCATTTGACCAGGACATCTGCTTGCCATACAACCCACTCATTGTTCTCCTATAAACACAAGTTTATAAATGTAAATGAGTATGACACAATAGTTCCAAATTGTTGGCCAAAGATGAAACAAAATTGAAAATACCTCCAAGTGACTATGTATCATGCTGTTACTATTTCCCAATTGAATGAGCTTATTCGCTATTCGAGTTATGTGTCCAATATTCCCAATTCTTGGAGTTCTCTTTCCTTCCGACGGTAACGTTGGCTACAAACACAAGGCACAATCAAAATATCAAGGCGACATAGCCCAAAGAAAAAAAAAACAAGATGACAAGTATCAAGAAATAGATTTACCCCATTAGACTCCTTCGGCGAGAGATGGACCTTTTTCAGCGGCAAGGACTTTACCGACAAAGCTTCTTTTAACCTCAAGGCAAGAAACAATAATGTTCTCAACATGATGATGCAAAAAGTTATTATAAGGGTACCTGCAGAACCAGGCAATGTATGAGGATTTGCCATTAATAAAGGACCGTTAAGGAATAAAACACACAAGCCCACTTACGTAAAAAAATAAATCAATGCAATGCTTTATCACCGATTGGTTTATTAGCTCCTTCTCAACAATTTCGCTACCAATTGTTAGCAAAACAGAGACAAACTCTACAATCTGAAAGAAATGTAAGTATAATTTATTAAAACAAAATAGACAAAGAAAGGCTCAAGAGACACGTTGAATGAAGGAAACGATTAATTGGACCTTCCGAGCTCGGCCTAATCAGCAGAAGTTATGCAAGGTGGACAACAGCTGAGGCCATCAAACTCAGATTGAAAGCATATCTCTCTCAGAAATTACCCCATCATATATCCCCATGCATGGTATTAAATAACAGTAAAGTCTAAAAATCCCTAGGCAACATTAATGCTTCCATCAAATAACTGGAAGATTAAGAATAATTTATTCAGGAGGAAAAAATGTCTTAAGCAAACGAAAACTAATCATATATGCTCAAATTAAAAACAAGAGATCCACAAATACGAGCATACCTTCAAACGGTGTTTTCAAAGAGGCGGACGCAAACATCCATAAGTTGTAGGCAAAACATTTTCGTAAAGAAGTAATGTCCAAGAACTTCAAAGAAGTCACCTAAGATGTGATTACAGTATCTTTGGTAAGTCCTCGAAAAGGCAATCAAGCATTTCATATTTTCATTAAACGTGACAGGTGTGCACATGACAAGGAGAATGTGTGTGATGAAAAGCAAGGTGTAACAAGTGAAAAGCATATAAACAATACAAGTAGCATTAAGTAGAAAGAATCAAGCACGAGCATTCACCTAAACTCTCCAAAGATACCATCAATCTGCTTTACGACTGGTTTGTGATCGGCGTCCGTGAGTTAAGTTGCCTCTAAATGCTTGGTATGAGGTCGATGCTAGTCTTTTGGGGTCCAACAAAGATATACACACCGACAATGAATGAACCAGTAATGTATTTTGGTCTTGACTCTTCAAGAGCGTGACAAAACAACCTACCAACAAAACTGATACCAGGAACAAGCAAAGAAAAATGAACATAATAATAGCTGACAAAGGAAGCGATATGATGCACAAAAATTGCATTTTCTGATCACACAAAAATTAAATGAAAAGGATAAACCTTGGGCTGCATATTTTCGTAGCAAGAGCAGGAGAGGCGCATCGAGTTACGGCGGAAAGGATTTCAGCAGCATTTGCATGCACTTCAGGAGAGTCCTATTTGATCAAGGCAACATAGATATATGATCCCTTTACTAGAAATATATCAAAAAACATATGAATTCTACTGAGACAACAAACCAACCTCCATAACCACTGCAAGTACAGCATAATAATGACATTTTTTTGTGAAAACGGTTCATTATTGTTAAGAAGAAAATACAGGACAAGAACCTAAACACCCACACACTCTACACACACCAAAGCTTAATAATGACATGGTTTAGTACCCAACAAATGTCGTATAGCACTATGTTACTGAGTGATCAAGTGTACTTACTGATGAGCTAAATTTATCCACAATCATTTCCAGTACATCTGTGTTCTCTAACCAATGCAATGTATCCGTAAAATTTGAGTATATGGTTTCATCAGCGCCAATCAATCTCATCAACACCTATTTTACAATCAATTTGATGACCAACACCAACCAAAGGCACTCACCAAACTAGACGGGGAATGAGTTCAATAACTACTTACCTCCATTATTGATGTGATACCAATGAGGTCGACAAGCTAGACAACAATATTTGGATGCTCCTACAAAAAGGTAAAATAAAAAGACAAGTAAACATAAATTGGAATGTACACAAATGACACCATCTTTCCAGCATAGCATCCAAAGAACATGAAAAAATGATTAAGTGTAATGCATTATATCGATGAAATTACTATGAAACAAAATATTTACTCACACATAATGAGATGTTCTCGGTGAAAAAATGCACAATGGTTATGATCTTCAAAAATTACAAAACAAGAACATGAAAATTGTATGTTTCAAATAGTGCAAATACTACATGTTGTTAATGCAATTATACTGTATATGTATATAAATACAGAATCCAGCTCATGAATGTGGAGCCTGCTCATAGTACAATTAAACAGCACAGAATATGTACATAAAAAGAGTGATGAATTTACATAGCTGGTTTGGAGTAACAAAAACAACAGCAAGTTCACGAAATTCAGGGTTGGACATACATACCTCGGCATTATCCTCTTGGTTACTCCAAGTGAACTGCACTTTGTGCCTCAAGACACTGTCTGCATGTTTAGCAGACTGAGTGATTCAGAACAACAAAATTGTGAACCAAAACAAAAACAACCAAACCACCACATTATTGCATCTGTTCCTCACCTTCTTTTACTAGTCCTAGCAAAACTAGCATAACTGCCTCAAGACGCTGCCTGCATGATGAATTCACTACGGCATCAGGAACAAATCACAATAAACAGAAATAAAATATGTTGGCATAAATCACAAATAACAATTTTTTCTATGGAAGGACAAGGACAAAAAATGTTGTTCGCGCTAGCACAAATCACAAATCACAATAAACAGAAATGAAATGTGTTGGCACAAATCACAAATAACAATTTTTTTTCTATGGAAAGACAAAGGCAATGTCTGTGCTGGCATAAATCACAAACCACAATAAACAAAAATAAAATGTGTTGGCACAAATCACAGATAACAATTAAAAGAGTTAGACAGATAACCTGGAGACACCATAAAAAAGTATGGGAAAACTTAGCTACCGCAACATTAAAAGAGTTAGACATAGCAATTTTCCATTTATCTTAAGAGAGTACTGACTTCCTAATTCATGCATATCAAGAATTTCTACTACAATGTGAAACCATCAACAATCAGTGAAGAAACTGACAAAAACAAGAAAAAAACTGAAAGCAACTTAACTCACCTCATGTGTGTGTCTGCTATTAGTAACTGGTTTGTTTTCATTATACTCAAGAATGATGTGCTTCAACAAGATGTTAGGAATGTCCTTCATAATGTGCCACTTGATAGGAAACCAACCAGTCCACTTGTCCTGCTGCAAGTATTCAACTGTCTTGTTAAAATCAACTCGACCCACCATCTCAGCCAGACCAATAAACTATCCACTGGTGTTAACCTAAAAAATCAAGAAAGACAACTAGATACCTTTCGCTTACTGTTAGTTTTCTAAAGCAAATAGGATTCACAGGAAAGATGCAGTGTGGTCCTAAGAACCTAGTGAGTCAGTGAAACCAAAGCTACATTCATCATCAGCACCTACTGCTACTGGGAAATGAAGCAGACATGCACAACACTGGTAAAGCCAGCAAGGATGACTTGTTTATCAGTATTAACAAAGATAGATGACAAACTAGAACACAACCACAAAATCATGACAAATATAAAATGCTAGTAACAAATATAGTAGCTCTAGCACAAATCACAAGTAACAATTTAGTAACAACAAGGCTAACGGTTCAACAACAGCATATTGCATATGCTTAGAACTAAAATTGCAGTGCCTGATACTTGCAATCTATATTATAGCAAACTACAATTATGTAACTGAATCTTTAAATTGTTTGGTTTACTGAATCTTTAAGTTGTCTGATCAGAAATAGTTCTTTGGTATTACTAAAGTACAACTGGCATAAGACATAAGTGCTCCTGTAGCAGTGTCATTGACAGAAAACCACCTAATAAAACAAGCTACAGGTGGAAAATGGTGCTTCTGGGGTTTGTATTATATTGATGTGCGAGGACAAGGACAAAAATGAGATATATATTGGCACAAATCAGAATTAACAAAATTCATGAAGTGATAGCACAAATCACAAGAGACAATTTTTTACTATGAAATGACAAGGGCAAAAACTTGGCTTGTATCAGTTCTTAGTTTAATCCACTAAGCCTCATACAGAATATATATGTGCTCCCTCCAGTCCAATATATATGACATCCCCACCGCAGGGGCCAGTTCAGTTAACAAAGACTGCTTTATCGGAACGTCATATAAATGTGGCCAAAGGTAGACATGTAGTAGCATCTAATTTATTATGCAACTTCAATAAATGCCCTAATCCTAGTCACGTCCAAAAGGGAAATCTTTAAACGCACAATTGAAGGAAAAACATACCTGACCCTAGCCAATGTCGAGCCCAGAAATTTCAACAGAGGAACAACAATCGTCTTCCCACTTCATAGTGATTATGTTTTTGGATAATCCTGTCAGCTAAATAATAAGACAGTCATCGCTTAGTAGAAAAATCTTTGACTCGCCATGATCTGTATCCACTTCTCCATCATAACTACTACTGAGAAATCAGTATAATATTCACTTACAATGTCAGCAGTTGCCAACTTAATGGCTTCCAACTTCGGAAAGCAAGCCCGTTTACTCTACAAAATGAAAAATGAATTTAAGAACAGATAATCATTAGATGTTAGTTTTCCGGTGCACAGATAATCAGCATAGTATCTTTTCTTCCAACAAACAGAACTGCTGAAATATTCGAAAAAAGGTTGTACCAACTGCAATGAATTACCTGCAGCAGCTGATGTCCTTCGTTGAGACTGTACCCAAGAATCCAGAACATATAAGCCAACTGAAATTTACAAAAAGTGCTCGGACTTAGAAAGCTATCAAACAACAATGCTCAAGGCTGTGGACAATAACAAATTGTAGCCAATGATGTGTCCCCCTAAGTACTATTTTCTAATTAAGTTACATAACTTGGAAGAAATTAGACCCAGTCAAATCTTGAGGTTATTAAAGCGCTACAAAGCTGCAGACTGTAGCATTTGTATTTATGATGTTAGTGCGTCATGGGATGCTCTTTTTTTTATCTAGACATAACTTTGTAACTTGGGAGGATTGGTACTTAGTACTCTTTCTAAAGCACATAAGCATGGTTTTCTCCAAAAGGTTTGTTTTCATTCAACCTGATTATGAGCAATATAAGAAAAATAATGTAAACCTAGTGCAGCAAAAGGATCTATAGAGAAACAAATGGACTCTGTAAAACAATAGGCTGTCTTAGGAAACAAAAAAAAACAGTGCTATGTAAACCTACTGCAACAGCAGGAGCTCTTCCAAGTCCAGCAGTACAATGTATATATGTTACACCACCATTACAGTTGATAAGCTTGTGCAGTTTGCTAACCACAGCAGGAAGCCTCAATCGCAAATCAAAAGCATCAAAATCCCAATATATATGACTGACAATATATATACACCTGTGATTAGATCAGATCCGAATACAAATAGTTCAAGAAAGAAAAATCACTAACAACATTGTTATATTTGTGAGCTGATTAAACAAATCATTGTTGCTCATATCCCTACAGAACACTAAAGTACAATTAAGACTAGAAAATGACATGTTCTGTGTAAACATCCGAAAATTGACATTTAAGAGAGCATGTGAGATATAAATTACAGCTAAACTAGCACAGTTAGCTAGTTCATGTTATAGCCCAAGGTGTCCTTAAGCCGCATCCCAGGTAACTGAATACAACACCTCTGAATTCCAGTATCTCTTTTGTGCAATTATCTAAATTCAGTGGCGTGTAGACAGCTCTGTATCTGAAGCCAAAATTCATGATTCAATAAGAAAATTTCCTATAGAGTTGTGGACAGCACACCTACCCAAATTTCATGAAACATTCATATGTAGGAACCTGATTTTTTTCAGAATTCATACTTCTGCAGTCCCAATGGACTGACTAGAACTTGAAAGGTATAGCAATCACAACCTAGAAGAGCAAGCCATAGAACCTTTCCTCACCGATTGGGTATCGCATCGTGATGGGTAAGACACCGCGGCCCGTGCGAGGTGTTGCGCACGCGCTGCCGAAGGGGTGCGCCGCCGGAGGGGCCGTAGCCTGCCCACCGCGCCGCCATCACCATCGTGGATGGGCGGATCTAGGTCGTGCTCACTGGATCCCGCCTCCACCATCGACGAATCCCACGAGGAGGGCCGGCGCACCAGCCACCGGATCTCGCCCCAGGAAGGGAAGGGAGCGGCGCGGCAAGGGAGAGGCACGGTCACACGGGGAGGGGCAACGGGAGCAGCCGGCAACCATCCGACGGGGAGATAGGGTGACCATCCGCCCCCCATCCGCCGCACAAGTTCCGCACTCCCAGCCTCGAGAGAAATGAATACAAAACGGCGCGACTCCCGAGATTTAAAAAAAAAAAAAAAAAAAAATAAAAAGGCCGCCGCAGCCCACAGCTCAGCCCGTGTGCGGAGGAGGCGCTAGCACGATTCGCAACGCGCGATGGACGGACACAAAATCCATGTGTTTTTTTTTGTAAAACACATGTGTGTTGTATAGCATTCCTGTATATCAATATATACTGTTCTCTCACTTTGCATGTTTTGTGGCATTCTCAGTTTCTCATCATCCCATGCATCTGTGCCGCTCCTCAACATCTAGTGCGAATAGATGAACGATTTTGTTTGGGTGTGCCTATTCACAATTCACAAATCCGCCAGATTTGGCTTCTAGTTTCCGTCCCTGTTCGCTTGTCTTATCAGTCGTACTTTTTCAGCGAAGTAACCATGTTTCTCTTTCACAATAAATCAATGAATAGTACTTTTTAGCCTGGCTTTTCAGCGAAGCGACGTTCGTTTTGAAAAAAAAAAGAACAAGTCTGGGATGTTCAGATCAGGCTGAGCTCGACACACAAGCGCAGATATTAGGGGCTCGCAGAGCTGTGTCAACCAAACTAATCAGACAATATGATATTCGTCAAGATTACGGAAATACAATATTTGATTTATCAACACACAACTACACAAACAAGCTACGAAGATGAAATCGCCTTGCTATTGATGCAAACCAAACATCACTATTTTTCCTCTGCCCAAATCAAATTGCATTACTCTTGTTTGCATCTCAAAAATACAAACGCCGCAAGTCCCTACAGTTCTGACAGTGTTCCGTCCACTTGTTCACATTGCTTGCAATGCCTTCTCTTTTTACAAATCCTTGGCATTACATCAACGAACATACATGCTAGAAGAATGAGTCTGGTCCTCGTTGAATGATGTATATCGAATTTTGAATCTGTGGAAGTGAGGGACGTCGTCGTCACAACTGTTACCTGCCAAATGTGCACACACACTCATCAGCGCACGGAAAGGCAAGCAGAACAAGTCTTTCAGGAAATGTTTTGGGCCCAAATATTCGAGCGCAAGAATGTGGTCCACCAATGACCGGAGGAACAGGAATATGAACTTTGAGAACCAATCAGCCCGCCTTACTTTTCCCTCTCCTCGCGCAGCCTGCGGGCAACGAGCTATGAACCTCTCCTGCTCAGCCTTCATGAGAATGCGAGGCCGCCTCTCCTTCCTAGAACGGCAAGGCCAGCATCCGGACATCCGGATGGACGGGCGCGCGCTGCACTCCACACGTGGTCCGCGCCACCCTAGCAACAAGAGGGGAAGGAGGCGGCGCCTCCGATTCAGAAGGACCCAGCCGCGGCGTTGAATGGATGCCCTGCCGGCGCCGGTAGGAGGACGCACCAAGACGATGCATCATAAGGCGAGGAGGAGAGATGCAACACCCGTTAAAACATCTAAATGCAACAGTTGCAACATACGTCTTAAAACAGATAAAATACTTGAAACATGCTTTTGAAACACTTAAAAAAACACATGAAAACAATTGCAAACATACGCAACATCTACATATAACACATGCAACATATGTGTGAAACATATGCAACATCCATATAAACACACTTGTAACATGTGTACGAAAAACATAGATGAAACACCGGTAACAGACCTTTGCAACATACGTGTACAACCATTGCAACATATGCAACATCCCGATCTACTTTTGCAACGTCCATCTGAAACACTTGCAACATAGCTCTGAAACATCTGAAATATTCAAAACATACGCTTGTAACATGCGTAGCAAAACATGGTAGCTAGGTGAGCGGAGCACAGCACAACGGGATCCGGTTGTGCGATCGCGGTGGAGAAGGAGGATGGTAGTGCACCCCCCGGTGAGTGGCTGCGCTGACCCCGATCGTAGGTGAAGGTGACAACAGTAGTCGGGTGGTGCGGCCTAGCGCGGCAAGCGCGCCGCGGCAGTGTAATCGTGGAGGAGCACGCTGCGGCGGTGCGGGCGCGGCGGCGGCGGAGAGGAAGGCCGGTGGGAGGCGTGGTAGAGAGGGAGACGTGCGGGAGGTGTGGGGAGCTGTGGTGGAGCCGGTCGCGACGCGCAGACATGGTGATGCGTGAAATTTTTTTATTAATCTGTAGTGACTGGATGGGAACGGAGGCTTCTGGACGTTGGGCCCATCAACAGGGACGTCCGGCGCGGACAGACGTCTGATTTTGAGCATTGCCCTAGTTGTCCCAGTGTGTCGTGAACATACACATGCGGGTGTGTATGCGTGAGGCACACCACACCTGTCACGGTGAGGCTTCCATCCAGCTGCCGCGCGCGCGGACGAAGACCACACGGTGATCGTCACGTTCGTGTCGCTGCATCAACAAGCTGCAGGGTGCCGGGTGCCGGCTGTCTGACTCTGATCTGATCGGCGGCGCGCTCACGGTCCGTGTGAATGTGATGCAAACATGAAACATCAGACTCCGGTTCTGGTTCGTGTGTGCTCGAATCGGAGGCACCGGAAACAAGAAACCAACTCGGGTTCGAGTTGTTGCAGTTGCAGCAGAAGGGGAACAAAAGAAAAAGGACACGAGGGGTGGAGGCGCGCTACTGCTGGGCTGGTGCTGCCGGTTTTCTTGGTCGGCCACGGCCCAGAGGCCACAGCAGAAGGAGCAACGCGGGCTCGTCCCTTTGCTAAAAAAACAAAAGAAAAATAGGCTCGTCCCAGGGAAAACAAGAAGCAGGTCAAAAAGAATTTGCAGCAGGGATTAAATTAAAAAATCTGGATGAAGATTCACAGTACTTAATGTACGTATCATTTACATGAGCCATAGCATGTGAAAATTTGACCAAATAGAATGAGTTGTTTGCTAAAGTAGCGTTTGTGTAACCAAAGTGATCCCTTTAGATGGTCTCCAAACCAACATGATTTATTTTCTATTCAATTCATGCATATAGTTTTTTTTTTGTACCAAAATGTGCTAACTAGGAATATTTGTCGAAAGTCGAAACATATTGTTCCCCTAAATATTGAGATATGCTTGCGGCTTGAGTAAGGGTGTAATTTCCCACAAGATAATTTGATAAAGTGCAAATGGCAAGATGGTAATCGTTCTTGACAAGATATGATTAAATTGGGAATGTTGCAACTTGGGGAAAACGGTTTCAGAGATCTTCGCCAAACATGAGAGGTGTTTACTATGTATATGCTTTGAGTATTTTATATATCAATAGTGAGATAAATAGGTAATTTTAATTTTAAAAGATATATAGAGATGTAATTTATTGTTATTTGTGTCTTTTTTATAATAGCAGGTATTGCTAGTTTGGAACTTCGGATGTAAATGTGAGGGGTATTTTTAGTTTAATTTAACGGTAGTGCTATGATTAGGGAGTCCGGACGCCAGATACTAGGAGGCTTCACGTCGTCCGCGTATTCATAAATATCTAATACTCCCATGCTGCCTCCAAAAAAATCTCCCACTCCGCAAGCTGTCAGCCGCAAGCTGCACGCACGTTCTGCTTCTGCTAGATCACTCCCACTTCCACTCTCCTGCAGTCGAAGCATCGCCCGCCGATGGCGTCTCCGCCCCACTCAGTCGAGGTCTAGACCCTGGCGACTAGTCGCGGCCCATCGCCACTCTCCTCTCCTCCGTGGCCGCATCCCAGCCCTCATTTGCCCCCGCCTCTTGCTCCTCACCGTGGCCCTCGCCACCGCCACAACCTTCACCCTGCTCCACCCGTCCCTCACCGTCATGACTGTGGCGTCCGCTGCCACGCTGCTCTCCAAGCTCCCCAAAGCTCGTATTGTTGCTCATATCCTTGGATGGCTTCTGCTTCGGGTACCAGTACAAGGTCCCTCTCCCCCCACATCCACCGCCTCATCGCTCGCGTCCTCCTCACCACCTCTCTTGCGGCTAGAGACGGCAAGGGTGTCGTGGACATGCCATACTTCGAAACCGCCTCGAGGCTCGCCGCACATGGTGGTCGTCGTCCACTAGAGCGTCGCGCCTAACATGTTGCAAGCGTATGTTTCAAGTGTTTCAAGGGTTTCATATGCATGTTGCAAGTGGTTCATGTGAATGTTGCAAAAGTAGATCTGGATGTTGCATATGTTGCAATGGCTATACATGTATGTTGCAAGCGTATGTTCCAAATGTTTCATCTGTTTTCAGACGTATGTTGCAAATGTGTTTATTTGATGTTGCATATGTTTCACACATATGTTGCAAGTGTTTTATCTGGATGTTGCATATGCTTTGCAATGGCTTTTCAAGTGTTTCATGTGTTTTTTGCAAGTGTTTCAGATATATGTTTCAAGTGTTTCATCTGTCTCTAGACGTATGTTGCAAATGTTTCATCTGGATGTTTTAAAAGTAGATCGGGGGTTACATCTCCCTTCTCGCCTTCTGCTGCCTCACCTCGATGTTTCCTCCTCCTCCCAGTGCCGGCTTGGTATCCGCCGCCCCTCCCCCTCTTCTCGATGCTGGTGACGTTTGGGGCAGCGCGGGTCTCGCGTGGGCACTCAAAATGGCGCGGGAAACATATTGCAGGCACGAGCGTCCGGACGGACGTCCGGGCGCTAGCAAGTCCATAATTTTTTCGCGAACATGTCTACGACACATGTTTCATTAAGATGAAGGAGAATACTTTTACAAGAAGGATCGGTAATCAACAATTACCGAATCCTTTTCCTAGTGCTACAACCATTAGGACTGTATTACATGAACAGTCTTGCGACATTCGACAATGGAGGCTTCGCTTTCATAAGCCCTGCCAAAGCGACTGAATCTGTGTGTGCCCTGCCCTCACCCATTCCTGCGCCTCCTCAATGATCATGTGGAGCATCAGTGTGTGCGTGGATCTTTGCTATCGGAACGTCCTCGGACCAGACTGTCGAAGACTCGCCTGTGTTCCTTCAAAATCAGCTTCCTTGAAACTAGCCACCAGTCAACGCATGTAGCTTGGAAGATGTTAACGACGGCATCAA